GTTCCAACATAATCTACGTGTATTTAGTAGTACACACAACTATTTTATAAATATTTTCAACTATTCAGTTTGAGTACCATAAGCATAAAAATATAAAGGCACAGTCAAGTTAATATTTTGTTTGGAGTGAACAAGTATTGGGTTAGCTTGAACAATCTGACGTGTTTATTAATTACATAATTTCGGGCGGCAACAAAATCAACCTGGTTCAGTGCATGCATTTATTTAGTTGGATGTAGGGAAGTCAGGTCATTTGATTGACTTGCTTTATTTACTCGACAAACCCTTTTCCCCAGCGCATGCTGACACGAAGCAATGCGCAAAACTGACTCCCCTTAAAAATAACGTTTCTATGAGCTTACACCTACCATTACCCATTCGAATCTATTGACGACCTACCCAACCTGTAAATGAAAAATGGGGGGAAAATGTTTACTTTCATGCAAACGTAATGCAGAAAATGGTCAAGGGCCGTTATAACCTAGCACCGACTCGATATCGGCTGTCAACACCTCGCTGTTAAGAGCCGCCCAAATCCCTCAACAACAACAACAACCAACTCGAGAATGTAGAATTAAATTTTGGATTTTTTTTTTTTTTTAATTGGTCTCACGGAAGAACGTTACGAAATGGGTAACAGGTTAACACAGCGATGAACTTAATTCGCTGTACGTAGAGGCTTTATGGCGCCAACACTTCCCTTTTGCTACATTGCTCCTCGCACTGCCCACTTCACATTTGATCTCGCGACTACGTCAAAGTAAAATATGCATGTGTACACGTGCACATGCGTGTAACATTTTTTTTTTTTTTTTTAAGCATTAATAATCGCGAACAATTTGTGGCGATTTATATCTACGATTTCTCTTTCCGAAACTTATCCTTTTATATTAATATTGACTACGTAAATCACACACCAACACGTGTTGTCATAAGTAATTAATTAGCAAATTTCCTTAAAAAAAATATATATATATATATACACACACACACACACAGAAATGTAGTGCTTAGGAAGGTGGACGCGTAACACGAAAATAGAAGTTGTTAAGAAGGCTGTACTTTCATCCGTCTGTTAAAAATTAAAGCTTGTCAAGGTTTCGACGGACGGACAATTGGAATTATTAGAGGCACTGGCCTGGTTGGCTGTTAGTCACGTGACTTGCAAATCCGTCTTCAGCATGCCGCTGCGACTTGGGCGGTTCTTCCCCTCGACGCTGGCAGTTCGTGCTGCACGGGAGCTCACAATGCGACGAGGGGCGATTGCTACATGTGCTTGGCACCCCTTCACCGCAAGTTCGCCCCCTTGCAACCCCGCGGGGTGGTGGGGTAGGGGTTAGCACGTAGGGCGGCCTCTTCATGCACACGTGTCACTGGGGTGTATGACGCGAGGGAAACAAAGGAACAACGGGAGTGGCGCCGGGAGGGGGGGAACAGGGATCCCGGAAGCTCGCCATCCAATCAACGGGAGACGAGCGCCACTGTTTCCGAACAGCAGGCTCGTTGATTGGGGCAGAAAGCAGGCATTACACCTTTAATTACGATGCCGGACGTCGGATCAAAAATAACGCATTGCGACACCTTGTTTCGAAATTGTTTGTGCGAAATTAAAATTGGTTTATACGACGGGCGGTTCGATTTCGAGCAGCGTGAGTCATTCAGGATGGTGTGATGACGACCCCTGCCAACGATTTTTGCGACGATGTTTGAAACAGATACTAGAATGCAATTCTCTAGTTATCATGAAAAAAATACCATTTTGAGTAATAGGAAAAATAGTTTCCGGGGACAGGATTCGAAAACTGGGATTGAAAGATCAATGCATGCTCTGTCATTCAACATATGTATATGACGGCTATCTTAAACAACACTGAACTTGGCCTAAAATTCAACAATTTGACTGAGATTTGTCACCACCTTTACGAATAAATTAATAATATATAACGAAAACTGTTCCAAATTTACTTAAAAAAAAAGAAGCTAAATAACATATTCCTTTCTTTTAGTCCTGGTTTGACCGTCCGGTGTTACTAAATAAGAACAAGCACTCTGTTTTTTTTTTTTTTTTTTTTTTTTTAATCCAACAGAGAGTTAAATCAAAGTGAAGGAGAGACACGGTGCTTACTCGGTGTTTATAAGGACTGACTACTATCGCAAAAGTGTACATATTGAACCAAACATACACCTTATATTAATTTCGCTCATATATAATTTTTATGATCTAATTATTTTCGGTTGAGTGTGATAAGCTCTCCCAGCCTATACGCAGGTAATATACCAAATCATTACCCAATAGTTCATGATAAATCGAAAATTCATAATTTTTATGCTATTTTTAAACATCATATTCTATTTCGGACTGCAATCGTAAGTTGACTAAAATTTTCACTCACTTACATGCATTTGTTCTTGCTTTGTGGATGTTCCTATATCGAGTAAATTGAAACTTTTTACAACTAGTATAGCGAGTGCAGATTAATAAGATATACTAATATGTCCAGTTAATATTATTTTTACGTAATAAATGGCATACGATGAGTATTTGGAAAATGATTATTATATAATTTTAAAACTATTGTCTTCGTTTCACGCAGAAAACGAACAGGTGGAAGGGAATGTCTCTTTGAACATGCACCACAGAGAGCTCACACGTTGATTCCCCTTCTTACGAGAGTCATTATCATACCAAACAGCACTTGCGATCCCATTGCACACTCGTGTGCTTTTTAGTACTGGCGATTCCCATACATAGCGGCGAAAATAATCTTTCCAGCACCACACATCGACGAGACGAGAGCGAGAATGTAGCAGCCCCAGCGCTCAGATACTACAGGAATAAACGAATAAACTGTATATAGGCTGTTCACTGTTTAATGAGCACTTTTGAAAGCCTTGTGTTGTGTACTCCTCCGCCTTATGTAAAATTAACATTGCCATGGGTATCATCGCTTTATTCATGCGTCAGTCAAATGAAATTGTGAAATTATTACTGTGCGATATGACGATACATCGATCACGAAACAATATTTCTGAACATTGCAACTGCGACGAGGTCTAACAGCGTGAAGTGATATGTGGCATATCGCGATATTAACGGTATGCGACATTAATGATATACGAAACCAGCGATGTGCGATGTATGCAATGTCGGCGATATATCACGCCGATACCGATATGGCCAACATTTTTTTGAAACAATATTGAAAAGTGGGTATCGAACAGCACTACTCGCAGTCCGTCGACTTCACTCACACACAGCGACGTCTTGCGTGGTTCTCCAGTAGGTGGTTTTCATGTCGTTGCTTAGACACTGATCACGGATTCCACTGAACGAACTGCACTAAACACCCGCTCACTCAACTGCCATATCACGATTTATAGGTTGTTCACGGTAAAATGAGCACTTTTGAAAGCCCTCTTGATGCAAAATTAGCATTGCCATGGACCTCGTCGCTTTATTCATGCGTAGGTCGAGTGAAACTGTTAAATTATTAGAAAAACTAATGTTCCACAAATCGGCTCATTTTTACACTTTGATGCATAAAAAAAACACATAAAGCGAAAGAAATAATTTAAGTCACCAGAAATGGTAACCTAACACTTTTTATTCGACGTTAAGATATACGAATTAGTTTCCATCCATCGTTACCAACTTTGCTGGGTGCATGTCACTCAGTGCACCCGTTAAAATATATACAGGCATGGGCAGTGACTTATTTCTAATGTTGATTTTAAAAGCGCTCACTTTATCGTGAACAGCCTTTATGCCTGAATAAAGTTATCATAGCCATGGAAATGTTAGGTTTACATATTGTGGAATGATACACAAAGTGCTCAGTTTACCGCGGACAGCTTTTAATCGTTCTTCCTGGATCTGACTGCGCAGTTCGTCCTGCCCGTCTCCCCCCTAGCCTGTAAATCTGCTTGAGCGGTTTGGATTGTCAGTTGCCCTCATTGCAGTTGAACCGTCAATCATATTACCCTGATTTCATCCTAAACGACAAAACAGAGATTTGCCTAGCTTCATTTTAACCCACAAATAAGATTTTTTTTTTTGGCTTAATTCCAACCTGGATATCAGATTTATATATTCTGCTTTCATCCTAGTTCGCAAATCAGTCTGCCTTGGCTCCATCCTCACCCACAAATCATATTTCCACTGACTTTATACTTACCCGCAGATCACATTCACTCTGACAACTTTACTCACAGGTCAGATTTACTTTGGCTTCATAATCGCCCGCAGTCCATACGTATTTACTCTGGTTTCATTATTACCCACAGGTCAGGTTTATTCTGGCTTCACTCTCACCGGCAAATCAGGCGTATTCGTATATTATTTCTGGAAATCCAGATACTAACGTAACGCAACTATTTTCACTCCTTGTTAACCTCAACACACTCGTCTTCTTCACGAATTAAAAAGAATTTCGGCTCCACCTGTGAGCGAATTAAGGGTCAGTGAAGAAATCTGGGCGGCTCTTAACATTGAGGTCTTGAGAGCCGATGGGGATGGGTATGGGGCAGCGCCGGAATGCAGGGGTGGGGGAAACGGGAGATTCCCGAGAAGACCCACCGACCAGTGGGCATCGTCCGGCACGGCTCCCACATGAGAGGGTCCGGGGGCGGCCCCGCCGGGAATCGAGCACGGTTCGTCTCGGTGGGAGGCGAGTAGTCTAGCCACTGCACCACCGCAGGCCCCCTGTACTCCTTGGAGGAGCGTTCGGTGAGTAATGGTGCAGTTACCATTACCAATTGTAAACCAAGCAAGTTATGTCTGTGTGATCCGAGACAGGTTTTGTTTCGCTCATGTTTCTTCGCGTCTGATGTTACCGCTTGCGAGGCACGTTAGATACGTTTACAACTACCTGGGATCATTTTCAATTTCTCTCTCTCTCTCTCTCTGTCTCTCTCTCTCTCTCTCACACACACACATACATATATATATATATATCTTCAAAACTACTTCAAGCACACGCGTTGCGTTCCGTACGACGTAAGGTAGCGTGGTCGAGCGTTCTAAGGCGCTGGTTTAGGCCACCAGTCTATTCAGAGACGTGGGCTCGAATCCCATTGCTGCCATTACCCTTTGTAATTACACCAGTTAAGTCGAGATACATCATACGCTTTCAATACCCCTTTTTTGGCTTTAAGAAGGTCCAAGTTTGTGGGTTTAGGCTCCATGCTAGAGGTGATGGATGGCAGGTATATTATGAATGAGTTTTGTATGCATGCAACACCTATTTTTAAGAGTCTACTACTCTTTGGCGCTAGTTTTAGTTGGCCTAACATAGGCTATGTTTAGTTACGTTGGGTTAGACTAACATATTACCAACTTGAGATATTTTTACACACTCTACGTATATTAGATAATTGTCACTATTTTTCCCATTTTAAAGAGCATTCAATTAGTCTATAGTAATCTCTAATGATGCCCATTTCAGTACTTTTATGTTAGTACATTAAGTGACTTCTCTACACGCAATAATATTGTTAACATCCATAAGTCATTCACTTTTACTTCAAGGTCAACAACATAATTTTATTTATACTACATTATAGATACAACAAGATGCAAATTTTTCAATAATGTGATTAACTAATTGCTGGCATAATGAAAAGTAAACTCGATGGAAAAATTTAAACAATTTGTGCGCTACCAGTGACATTGAAACTTTTTGATGTATCTTTAAAATAATTATCTTTTAGTTAGATATTAATTTAGGGGGGGGGGGGGTGTTCATTATCAGTAATGGATGAATTTTTCTTTATCTTGGCTCGTTGTTAGTTTTTGGAATTTTGCTTGACATTGTAATACTGTAAGTAAGCATTTTTAATCAATTCATGGCTACTGGAGATATGATCATATAAACCTGACAATTTTAAGTAGACTATTTATTTGAGAAACTGCGAAAGTGTTGGAAAGCAGTTTTAACAGAGACAAGTAAGTAGGGAAAAATAAGGTTTCTGAGGCAGGATGTTACAACGTATTGTCATGTTTCGAAATCGCCCCGACCAGGCATATCGTACTAAACTTAACTTTACTACGGTACTTATTCGTGTGACGAACTTTTATTGATACGATATAAATATAATGTCTTCGCTATGGCGGCCCTATTTAAGCCATAAAGAAATTTGGGAAGCGTGCCACTTGGTAAAAAATATTTATAAGGAAAAAAAATTTGGTTTTTAAAATCGGTGTATATTTTAAGAACTACTTTTGTAATCACTTTCAGAGGAACGAGGTAAAGTGAATGGTTGGTAAAACACACATACACATACTCACAGTAAAATACACATACTCACAGTAAAATACACATACTCACAGTAAAATACACATACTCACAGTAAAACATTGTATGTCAAGTGTATGCTTCCTTTCCCTCAGAAATCTTGGTTCTTTGTAAGAAATACCAACCTGGGGACAGGAGCTATGATATGCTTGAAGCTGATGAATATTAGGGAATGTAACATTGCGGGAAAGGTCGAAGTGTCAGTGTCTGGGATTGTTGTGACTGCTTATGTGCAGACCTGGCAAATAGTGTGCGAATGGATGACCTCGAGTTACATTAGTAGGCTATTTAAATATAATTTCGTGGAAAACCATGGTCCGGAAGTAGCGTTTATCGGTATGTATTCGTGGCCTACGGATCACCGTACACACATTGTAGAAAACACTTCATATTAAAAAATAATAATAAATTGACTAATAATCAGATTTACTCTGAATACGTCAGCTTTAAGGCGCTCCCAAAGAACTCTCTCTCCAGCATATCATGTTTTACACTTACAGCTTAGCCCGCAGTACTTCAGCCGTATCCAATATCATTAATAATGTCACAAACGAGGCAGGGAGAGTTATTCAGTAAACGCATCCTACAAAAAAAATACTTTTTGTAAGCGATCACCCTTCGCTCAAAGAGAAACGAGTTTAACTCCGAAGATGCCAACCATAGAGGGTTTACTGAATTCGAGAACAAAAAAAAAAAAAAAAAAAAAAAAACTGCTGACAATATCTCTCCGTCTTCATCCTCCACTACAAAATTTCAAGGCTAACCAATTTTTAAATGAAAACTATAAAGTTATTATGAAACTAATTTATTTGCACATAAATTTAAATTTTACGTTTACACAAAACGTAGTAAAATTTAAATGAAGTAATTTATTAATAAGGCTGTTCACGATAAGGTGAGCACTTCTGCAAGCCCTACTTAGGTCGTGCTTTCCACCCCATTTTGTATCCTTCCACCATATGTAATATTAATGTTACCATGGACCACATCACTTTATTCATGCGTTAGTCAAGTGTAACAGTGAAATTATTAGAAAAGTAAACATTAAAAAAATCTGCTATTTTTACACATTGAAGCGTTAAAAAAAAAAGTAAGAAATAATATGTCATCACAAAGGGTTACCTTACACTTTTTATTCAACGTTACCATATGGAACTACTTTCCATCCATTGTCACCAGCTTTACCGGGCGCAGATCACTCAGTGCGCCCGTTAAAATATATGTAGGTAGGGGCAGTGAAATTTTTCTAAGGTTGATTTCAAAAGTGCTCACTTTATCGTGAACAGCCTTCAGTTTGTCGTAAGGGGCCTCGGAAATGGTAGATGTTTTAAGCCCTGGAAGCTCGAGAACTGATTAGGACAACTGGTATGGCTGACAACTCTTTAATATCCCGGCACATCCCTGGGATAATACGAGCAAAGGAAGGGAGAGAGGCGATCCTCCTGGAAAGGAAAAGTTAACTCAAAATAGTTATTAATCCTGCAAAGAAAACTAAAATGAAAAGCTTCAATCAATTTGGGGGGGGGGGGGAGGTTAGTCCCTGTCGAAATATTTTATAGATATTCCGCCAAAAGTTCGATTTCAGGAGATGCGTTACAATTGTTGGCAAGACGAAGCATTAATAATACCTTCCTTAATCTTCTTTAATTGCTAAGTACAGCTTCTCTGCATGTGATATTTTTTTAACAGCAGAGATAAAATAATTGATTATTTTGTAGGAGCGACAGTAGATTGATTATCTTCGTTTTGACGCAAGGGGGGTGGGAGGTCGGAGCTTCGGAGCTGTTCATACTCCATCATTCTGGTTGCCCGGCGGCCATTTTACCCTCAAAATTTTCCTTTTTTTTTTTCCCCTCAAAATCAACCATTTTCCTTCAAAATTTCCCTTTTTACACAAATATTGCCTTGTAAGTAATAAACACAGTGTGTTTACTCCACCACACTCGAAAGTGAACGAATAAGGCTAGAATAAAATACTACATTTATTGACTATTGTTTCATACGAGAGGGCTTTCCAAAGTGCTCACTTTAACGTGAACAGCCTATAACTTTGCTCGACTAGGCTGAGGAGCACGAGAAATTAGAAGTGGGTATACATAATTAACAATATATATATATATACTATAGTCCTCATGCAAACAAAGCTCAGAAAATTACACCAGAGTGCCAACGCACCGCATTCGTGCGCACTCAGTATAATAATATTTTGCAAATGAACTATTTCTTACTAGGTATTACCAACATACTTATTTTCTCCCTGTATTTTTTGTATTAAATTATAAATGAAGTATTGTAATTTATAGATGTTATATAATTAAAAGTTCAATTTAACTAAAATAAAGTACTTTCGTGTTAACACAAGAATAAAACGCTTGTGATACACGACATACAGAGGAAGCAACCAAAACGTCATACACGGGGTGATTTTTCAAAAGTTTGATTCAAAAAGTGCGAAGAAACCGTGAATAGACTACAGACAGTTTGAAGATATCCTGAAAAGGTTGTAGCTTACACCAGTCAATAAGTTCGTGAACTAAATGGTGCGCCGAGTGTAGGCAACCACGCACCACAGCTGTTATTGACTGTACTACGTATGAATACCATGCCTCTCTGCTCTTAACTGCTTTTTGTAATTGTGCACGTCCTTTGTGTATTTTTTAAGTATCGCGTTGCCTTCGCTAAACTGACTTAGAGCAGCGTCGTACTTAACCTTTACAGCACAGACGCACGCGTACACATACGCAAGAGCGTTTCGTGTGAATACTGTTTACAGCGGAATGCCGAGTTCAGATATAGGTTTCCCAAGGTAAAGTGATAACTTTTGAGGCCTTGGTTACTTTTTACTTTCAGCCATTTTTTTTAAAATCCTTTAACCACTTTTTTCAAATAAGTATTGCCATGTAAGTAATAAACACAGTGTGTATATTCCACCGTACTCGGAAGTTAACGTCTAAGGCTACAATAAAATATATTTATTGACTATTATTCCAAATGAGAGGGCTTTCAAAAGTGCTCACTTTAGCGTGAATAGTTTATATCAAGTTTGTGACACGCCTGTGAGAGAGTATCCGTATATAAGGGTTGTGAGATCACGTCAAAGTGAATGTTTTTTCCTTCCTAACTGACACGCGTCAGTGGACTTATTCTTAATTCTGTCTTTCCGCCAGAAAAGCAATGAATTACCGTAAACCGGGGCTGCTTTGCACCTGCTGGGGTAACATTGCGAACCACTCAGTATATTTGTTTAGGCGCCATTTGGTGAAAAGGTAGCAAACATTACCGGGGTAGGTAACATTCGAAACGTTAAATATATATCTATAATCTTCTGTTTCTTTGCCCCAATTGCACCATTACGAAGATCTTGAGTGGTGCAAAATTACCCCCGCGTGTGCAAAGTGCGGTAATGAAAAAATATATACTATTTCGGTAATGGAAGTGATTTTTTTCCCAGCCACGAAACAAGTCGCGTTAGTAGATTATCTCTTCATGGGCGAATACACTATTTAGACGAGAAGTGCGGATGGGTTTTACTCTGCGGCCTCATTATCAGGCTTTCCTGTGGTTATTTTTTTTTCCTCGTGGCTATGTAATTAGCAGGAATCGGTATTCTGTTCACTGAAGCGTCATGTAATTATCAGAAATCGAATAGAGAATAAAACTGCACGAGAGAGCCAGACGGAAAGGTGTGAGGGGCATGGGAAGGAGTTATCTATTTGAAATACTCGGGGAGAATTGCTCTCTCTTTTTTTGGTTTTATTGGGGACAAGATACGTAATGTATTGTAAGCAA